GTAAGAAACACCAGCGGGACTCGTGCAGAGACGGACTGGGACAATAATTTAGCCCGGGGCCCTGTCCTGTTATTATTTAAGGTGTGTAGAAAGCCGCTTTCTTGTGTAGATCATCTCCAGCAAGCGGACCTCAGTTTTCTGACTGCCTTCTAGCTAGGGCTGGGCAATATGACGATTTTAGACCGTTTTACGATCTACACATCTGACGGTCTGTCATTTTTGAGACCTTTTTATCTGCCTCTGAATGAAAAGGGAACTTACCTCCGGCGAATGACACGCCTTTGTTTGACCCTTAACCAATCAGAGTGAGTCATAGTAATATATTAGTGCCCCGCTTGTTTTCACCTGTGTGTGAACAAACATGGCTGTGGCTGCCAGCGACAACGAGGTTTTCGTTCCGAAGTGGCTAATCGGGAGGGTGGGCCGCATGGGCCGGTGCTCTCGTTTTTGTTTTTTATCATTTTATTTTTATTTTTTGGTGCCGGTGTTCAATCATTGCACTGAGGCCGCCGGGCTGATCTCATACGCTCCCCCCGGTTGTCTCTGGCTGGCTCTACCCGCAGGCTGCAGCTCGTTATATTTTTTTCTTCCTGTATGCGCCTGTGCGCACCACGTGACACGCAGTTGATGGAAAGATGGAAAGTAGAACAGTGTTTCCCCTAGGAATTTTTCCAGCAAGGGGGGGGGGGGGGGGGGTTAGGGGGGGGGCCTTGGGGAGAAATTATGACACATCTCTAAATAAAGTAACATTTTCTAGTGCAGATTGGAGACAACCCATAGAAGCACTGATTTGATCTCATTTCAGAGAAAAATAGGACAGGTCAGATGCACCTAATAAATAGAATTACTAACTCAGGAATCTTTCTTTGCTTCACTGTTCTGGTGCTGAGAATATCACTAATTCGGATCAAAGGATACACAGATGAATGCACCTCTTATTTATTATTTGGAAACTACATTTACTGCAGCTGGCAGAGGCAGAGATTTTTTCCATTGATACACGGAATTTACAGAATAATTTTAAATTTTAATAGGGGAAGACTGCAGGAGGGAGCGGTAAAATACAGGGGGTCCCCAGCAAAAACAAGAAACTACGAGTCTGATGAAACCCGCTGGTTTTCCATCAGGCAGTCACAGGGCAGCTCCAACGACCCAGTGGCTGTGCTGGGTCAGTTATCGTGCCCAGCTCGGCCGTGAACGAGCCGAGGCGGCGTCGTGCTCTGCTTAAGAAGAGGTGTTATTTTTCTGTTCCAGGAGAAGCGTCCAACATGTTTTTACGCTTTCTCCGAGACATGCCACGTCGCTTAAGTTGCGTTTTATGATTTTATCTATTTAAAAATACTTTTAATTAAAATAATGAACACAAAATAAACGTGTTTGTGTAAAATTGTGTGCAAGATAAAACAGTGTTTTTATGATTTTATCTATTTAAAAATACTTTAAATTAAAAGAATAAACACATTTGTCTACTTTGCTATTCTTATCCCTCCCCTCCCTTTCATCCTGATCTGATGTGGCATTTCAAAAGAAAGTGAAAATATTCACAATTTTCACTAAATTCAATGGTTAATTTCTCAAAAACTATCTGATTCCACAACATCATTCCACCTCAGTATTAGAACACACATCGAGGACTAGATCAGAAATTTTGTGAGGATGTTGTCATCTATGTGTACTTTAAGGCAGATGTGGAATGATGTTGCGGAATCAAACTGTTTTTGAGAAATCAGCCGTGGAATATAGTGAAAATTGTCATTACTGACTAGTTTCATTGCACTTTATTTTGAAATGCCACATCAGATCTTCATGAAATTTGGGGAGGATGCAGTGCTCGATGTGTACTCTTAAGATTGAAGTGGATTGATGTTGCGGAATGAAACAGTTTTTGAGAAATTACCATGGAATTAGTAAAAATAGTCATTAATGACTTGATTGCACTTTATTTTGAAATGCCACATCAATCAATCAAAGCTTTATTTATAAAGCGCCTGTCGGGAAGCCCAAGGCGCTGAACGTGGTACATGAGAAATGTGAAACATGATGAATAAATCAAAAATAAAAGCAATTCAAATAGTGCAAAAAAGGTAAAACATTAAAGTAGAAGACAAATGGGTAAAACAAGGGATAAAGAGACCAATGAAAACAGGGAAATAAAATCAACATAAAAGAGGGCCAAATTCAAACACGTTCAGGGAATGCCAAGCGGAGGAGGTGGGGTTTTAGGCGACTCTTAAAAGACTGGCAGAGATGGGGACAGCCTAACTGAGGGTGGCAACTGGTTCCAGAGTGACGGTGTTAGGACAGAGAAAGCCCGGTCCTCGCGAGTACAACACCTAGAATGAGGGACAGCGAGCAGGCCTTGGTCAGCGGAGCGCAGAGCGTGTGATGGGGAGTGTCTGTTCAGGAGTGTGGCTAGATAGGGGGGAGCACCACCCTGGAAGAAAGAATATACTCTCTCTCCCATAGGAGAGAATTAGGTCGAGAATTTTGAAAGAGATTGATCCTAATGAGGCTCTGAGAGTTTTCTATAAATTATTAACACCTGTCATTGAGAGACATGCACCAATAAGAAAATTAACTGTGAGGAACTCTAAGGCTCCCTGGTTGGATGAAGAACTTTGAGAAAAAATTACATTAAGAGAGAAGGCAAAGGCAGAAGCGATAAAATCAGGAGACCCAATGAGGTGGGAGTCTTATAAGAAACGGAGGAATCAAGTCACTAAATTAAATAGAATAAAAAGACGAGTGTTTTATCAAAGTAAATTTGATTCTGTAAAAGGGTGTAATAACAAAATGTGGAATACGATTAATGAATTAATGGGAAGAAAAGGAAGGGTAACAGCATCGTTTTTAGAAGCGGACGGGAAAGTTTTCATCAAGCAGAGAGAAATAGCTAGCTATTTTAGCAACTATTTTAGTACTAAAATTCTAAATATAAGGGAAGGACTTGGTTTTGTGGATAAAGATGCAAGATTATCTGGTGAATTAATAAGAGAGAAAATTAAGGCAAACAAGACATGTAAAAAAATTTTGTGACTGTAGATGCAGATAAAATAGCAAAATTACTTCAGGCTGGTAAAGAAAAACCAGCTGGAGTTGATGAATTGGAGATGAAGTTGTTAAAGTCGGTAGCTGATTTAATTGCAATACCTGCAGCTCACATTATTAATACAAGTCTAGGAGCAGGTGAATGGAAAATAGCCAAAATAATCCCAATACCAAATAACAATAGAGAACCAGTTTCTGGAGAAAATAGCAGACACATTAGTTTACTAACAGCTCTTGGTAAGATAATGGAGCAAGTAATATGTGAACAAATTCAAGAATATTTCTGTATAAATTGACTGAATTCAGTATATCAACACGCATACAGGAAAGGGCACTCCACGGCTACTGCTCTCACGCAGATGACTGATGATCGGAAGACAGAAATAGATAATAAAAAAATAGTTGGTGCAGTGCTGTTAGACTTAAGTGCAGCTTTCGATGTACTAGATCACGACGTGTTATTGGATAAGTTGCAGTGCTATGGATTTGAATCGACTGCTATAACATGGATGAACAGCTTTCTAACAGATAGGAAAAATATAGTATATTTCAATGGAAGTTATTCTGAGCAAGTAGTGGTGAGCTGTGGGGTGTCACAAGGGAACGCTCTGGGACCATTGTTGTTTTCAATTTTTATCAATGACTTACCTTGTTACGTCCCCTCCTGAACGTCCAGGAGGATGAGGGGACTAACACAGAAAAATAGGTGGAGGTGTGTGTGGGAGGATAAATAACAAGGTGGTGAGAGTAAAAACAAAAGGCTTTATTAACAAAGGGTGTCCGTTTCTAACAGCCAAATAAGGCTTACAACAGGGAACGGTGATGAAAAGGTGGAAACTGGAAACGTAAGCGGTTAACTGCTTACGAAAAACGGCATTTAGCCGAACTAAATAAAAACCACCTAACAGAAAAATCCCCGGTTCAAAGTCCGATGGGGACAAAAACACCGAAATGAGAAACTGACACTCTTGTCAGCTAACCTGTGTAACAGAGATGAAAATGTGAATTTCACCAAAAGTAATGTGCAGTGATTGTTTGTGTTTTTGGAGCCGCCTACTGGTGGTTAGGCGCAACTGCATGCAACGGGTCCTTCAGGCGCATTCACAGCCCCTCCCACCAAAGCAGTAATGAAAGCTGGTGGAGGTAGGTGTACTGTGAAGCCGCTCTGCACTTTAAGTCATTTTAACCTTTAATTAATATATCAATAGGACTTGTTACAGATATTTAAGTGTTGTTAGAGCATATTTTGAAAAAGGTTAGCTGTGTTTGCATTAAATTAATAACTTTATAGACGAGATTCACACTAATGGAAGCTAGCTTTCAGTCCTTTTAGTAATGTTTGGGTTTTTTCTTTTTGCCTTGAACAGACCGTTGTATGCAGTTGCAGCGCACACACACTGATGTATTATTGTGTGCTTGTTTTTACATCAGGTACGTTCAGATGTGTTTGGTAAAAATATGATTTGTAAATGTTTTATTGTTTCAACTGCCGGTGGCAGTTGACTGTTATACCTACTGATGGCAGTTAACTGTTTCAACTGTCGGCGGCTGCGCTGTCATTGTTGGTACTATTAACTATTTTATATGTTTTATCAAAAAGAAAGTATGTATTGCTCTGAAATGCAAGTTGTTAAATTAATATATTGCTGTTGTTATTAAATGCCACTATACGATCATATGATGGAAAAAAAAGGAAAAGCAGTAATGAAAGCTGGTGGAGACCGTTGTATGCAGTTGCAGCGCACACACACTGATGTATTATTGTGTGCTTGTTTTTACATCAGATCCTGCCAGTAAAAAGCTCTGAAGGACAGTCCTGTGTCTGTGGCCTGATTGTATGTGTGCGGTGATTTGAGGCAACTCCAATAACCCTGGACGGACAACAAGAGGAAGCCGTCACACTGGTGCCGTGACTCCCGGATTGCTGAGCAGCTTGATGCGGTTCACCGGAG